TGTAAATATTATTTTGTCAGTTCTAGGAACAGTAGAATAAATTTGATTTTTATCCTGGGTGATTTGATGGTGTTTAATTCTATGAAATGCGTGTGATAAGGAACAGTGTATAAAATATACGAATTGTAATACTTTTTGTAGCTTACCAGTGAAATCATTGTTTAACGTAATTCTGTTTTTGTATTTATGTTATTAGAATTTATATGAAAATCTATACTAGTTCGACAAGTAGATTAGGAATGACACGATTAGACATAATCCACAGTAATTCTATATTTCTACTTAAATCCTTAAAATTTATATAAAGATCTATATCTTATTAGTTCTGCAAGTAGATTAGGGATGGCATGTTCAGACATAGTTTACAGAAATTCTATGTTTCTAAAAATATTCTTACGATTTACATGAAGATCTACAGCTTACTACTTCAACAAGTAGATTAAGAATTACACGATCAGACATAATCCACAGTAATTCTATATTTCTACTTAAATCCTTGAGATCTATATAAAGATCTATATCTTCTTAGTTCTGCAAGTATATTAGGAATGCCATGATCAGGCACAGTCTACAGTAATTCTATGTTTCTATAAATATCCTTAAGATTCACATGAAGATCTATATCTTATTACTTCTACAAGTAGATTAGGAATGATATGCTCAGACACAGTCTACAGTAATTCTATATTTCTACTTAAATCCTTAAAATCTACGTAAAGATCTATATCTTATTACTTCTACAAGTAGATTAGGAATTCCATGATCAGACACACTCTCCAGTAATTATATTTCTCCACAAATATTCGTACGATATACATCTTCATGAAGATCTACATCTCATCATTCCTAACCTACTCGTAGAAGCAATAAGATCACTCCTAACCTACTCGTAGAAATAATATGATCACTACACGAAGCTTGTCTGATCCACAAACACACGTGCAGATAGCAAATTCGACGTTATCTAACTCCAAATGTCTCCTCCGCGTATCATGCCAAAAAGCATCGCAACCGAGACACGTGGCCCAAACATCCTGCCAACATATCAGTCGACAGTATCTGAAAGGACCCGCTATTATCAACCGCCGAGGCCGTATAATGGACTTTCCACGGAAAAGCCACTGTCAAACGAGGCAGTTGCAACAATGCATGTCCGGAGTCCCGGCGAAAAAAAAGGGAAGCATAAAATAACGCGGTATGATGTTGCTTCCTATAATTTCCTGTTAACCTCCCCCCTGTACCTCGGTCCGCCATCTTTCCTATTTCACTATATACCCCGACAGGCTGGAGACCCCCGGCTCGAAGCTTTTATATCTGTTCCCGGCGAATAACAATGCAGTGTCCGCACACGTGCGCAACTTTTGCGCCCTGGTTCGCCCCCCTCCGACTGGCGATGCGCTCCTATTGTTTAGCTACTCTTTTTATATGCTCCCTGCAGGCTGGCAGAGGATTATATACATCAAAAAGAAAGAAAAAAAGAGGGGAAGAAAAAAGAAACGAACCGGGCCGCGTAAGCCGAAACCTGCTTCCCAGCGGTGTTCTTTCACGAGAGACAAAGCGAAAATCAACCGACCTGAAAATACTGAACACCTGTCGTACACAGGGTGTCACGTTGCTTGCGTCGCGGACGGGGATGGTTCCTCGAGATGATGATTGGACTGTTGTGTGGGAGTTCAATCTCTTTTGTTGGCCCGCCGAGAGATTTATCGGTGAACTGTCCTTTTTCTTCGCCCTTTGCACTCGATTTATTGTCAATGTTGTGTTCATTTTTAAGGAAATTAATTATTGTAATTGATAAGTAGAACTTCAACGTTTCACCTTTATTTTATTGGTATGGTGGAATATTTATCGATTAACTATTCTTCATTTTAATCCTTTGTACTCGATTAATTGTCAGTATTGGCTGTGAACTTGTGTTTGTTGTTAAGGAAATTAATTATAGTAATTTATAGGTAGAACTTCAACGTTTCACCTTTATTTTATTGGTCTGTTGCAATATTTATCGATTAACTATTCTTCATTTTAATCCTTTGTACTCGATTAATTGTCAGTATTGGCTGTGAACTTGTATTTATTGTTAAGGAAATTAATTATGGTAATTTATAGTAGTAGAACTCAACGTTTTACATTTACTTTGTTTATGATGATTACAATAAGATTGAATTTTTATAATCTTCCGAATGGTACTATTCGAAGTACCATATTAAAGTGTAATAAATTTTTATTGGTATTTCGAGCACGACGTAGGAGTGCAGAAGGTGACTCTACTAATGCAGTGTAGTTTAGTCACGTGTACTCGATGAGTTGCATGCAGCTCTTGTGGCAAAATGCCAAATTTTCGGCAGTCGATAGAGCGTCTAATATTAGGCGATATACCTCCTAGGAGTAATTGAGGTTCTTTGCTAGAATCCTTTGTTTTATTTTATCATTAAGAAGGTGAGAGTTGCTGGTGTCAGTTGTTAGTAACCTTGATATCAATTCTTTCCTTGGAAGATAAGAATATTAAATTACACAAAGAATGCTATTAATCTGTTTTCCTTAAATTAATTTGATTTTCTATCTTGAAGAACATGGATCCTAGAATCATCTTCGTAATAACATGCATAATTGAATTTAATATTGATTCTAGTTAATATATAGTACTTCCATTTAACGTCGATGGGTTAGCGTCGAGTGATAGTCCAATCGCTGGTTTCGCAGCGAAAGGTTTCCATCGCGATCGAGTGCAGCAGCGTAATTGACCCTTTGAGTGCCCTAGCGCGAGGCTTTGAATATTTTTAATACGATTTGATGGTGTCTGAGGCCGGTAGGTGTAACTAAAGTCGAGGTTACGTATTCCACTCTCAAAGTGGAAATTTCATTCGGTTAAACGCTGCAGTTTTTGAACTGCACGGGTCAAAGGGAAATTAGTTTGTACGCAGTCTGACATTCGCTAGAAGCAGCATAATGTAAGTGGAGTAGATGACGCGAGCAAATGAAATTGTGTATACTTTAGTAGTTAGTAGAATTGAATAGGACTTTTGCTGGGGAACAACTTCAGTGGAATAACTTGGAAAAACTTGAAACAATTTGAAACATGATATTGTCAAATCATTATTTGATAGTACTACCATTTTTTCTTATTACTCAAGAATTTCTACCATTGCTACCCAAAAAACTCAATCAAACTATCAGTTATCATTAAAATTCAATACTCTCATTACTCAAGAATTTCTACCATTCCTATCCAAACAAACTGAATCAAACTATCAATTATCATTAAAATTCAGTACTCTCATTACCCAACAATTCTACCATTCCTACTCACACGAACTGAATCAAACTATCAATTACCATTAAAATTCAATACTCTCATTACTCAAGAATTTCTACCATTCCTATCCAAACAAACTGAATCAAACTATCAATTATCATTAAAATTCAATACTCTCATTACCCAACAATTCTACCACTCCCACCCAAACAAACTCAATCAAACTATCAATTACCACTAAATGCAATACCATCAAATCACGTTCAGTAATTCCGTCATTATTCTCAAGAAGAAACTAGAAACTGAAACAACGTAATTCCCTCAAACACCAGCCTCTTTACTTACCGTTACATCAAACCGCGACACAAAACGTCATCCCCAATCACCACGACCGCTCTAATCACGACGGTCGGTCCCGTAAATTCGACAGTGCCCGTTCGCGAGCACTAAACTCACATTAAACGTGCGTCTACCAACGATCACATCTGAACAGTGTGTCTTCGAATAACCGCTCGAGTCACGTGTCACGTGGTTTCTCGACCATAAAATTCGCTGTAGTCTCTATCGTTAGAGGCCCGGCTAGCGCGTTTGTCGGGAACGGTATCGATCCCTCGAACAAACCGCCGATAGTCCGCGTAATCGTTGCGCCGTTCGCGCGGTCGATTTGACTTCCGGTAGCGAAATTAAAAATTCCATCAACCCGCTATGTACATCGAATCGTTCGCTCGATACAAATCGCATCGCTGGCGGAGACGATTTCGCAGCCGAGCGATCGCAGTCGGCGGTTTCCGCGGGAACGGGAGTGTTTACAGTTCGTTGCTTAGCATTCTCATTCTTTCGGGAACGCGAGCGACTTTCGACGAGACGCTTTAAGCGGTTTATGGGAAACTTTTGATTAAACCAGCGGATGGGAGAACATGATCGCTGGAACGGATGAATCTTGGAATATTTGTCTTAGCATTATGAGCTTTTTTATGCGAGTCTGCGACCTATAGACGAGAAAACAATGGAGAATATTATTTTCATATTGATCCATTTTTCTGGAATTAGGAATTCCATTCGAGAATTTTGCGAAATGAAAATCGCATAGTATTCTATATAATAGAAAATAATGGAATTAATAACAGTCTTCCTATAAAGTGTTCGCGATACAAAATAGCGATCGTGGTATGAATATGGAAATCCCAGGGATTACACGATTAATGAATCCTAAGTGATCAAGGACGTTATAGCAGCTCTAAATGACTTTCAGAAACGGCGTTATCGAGTTCTACGGCTCGCCTAAGTCAAATTAAAGCAAATTATTCCCAAGTCACTCGTTCCGAAGGCCGATTCATTTGTGATTTTAATTACCGTGTCCCAGTGGCACGTTTTACATGTCTGGCTGCCTTATGCATCGTTGATAGCGGTCTGCGTCGACAGTGACTCATACAATATGAAGGGAAGGACTTTGTACGTAAGTTACAAGGACTCCTTTTATTAGAGTGCCCAGCCTAGACCCAGTTCGGACCTAACCAAGACCCGTTTCATACGTTCGAAAGATTTTGCGTCCCGACCGCAGTAGTTCGGGTCAATCATAACCGATACGCCGAAGAACGGACGATTCCAGAGCCTGTTTCCACGCGAATTTATTTTACATCGAAATCGCCGTTACGTTTCGGAGAATGTTTTCATGCGATCCTCGGATTCGGAAGAATTCGCCGATCGAGGAACGGCCGCGGAGATCTCCGGGAATCGAGGCACGTACCTGAGGTATTCGGAAAAGTCGCAGGAGGTTCGCCACTTGGATGGATGTGACGGAGCTCGCGGCGCCGACAACCCCGCTGATGACCTTTCGCACTGCGGTTTTATTGCAGTGATACTCCGCGCCGTCTATATTGCTTATTGAACCTGAAATACAGACGTAAACGTGTTGATGGTGGTTTTATTCTGATAATAACTGGCAACATTCTATACCTCCTCTATCCGTGAGATAATATTCTCGTGTTCAGTAGGAATATTTGCTTTATGAATAATAACGTCGCAGGTATTGGGGATTATTTATGATTTAGACACCTTTATTGCGAAGATAAAACGAGATGGTAATAGGCACGATGGTTTTGAAGTTGGGGTGCACTTTTGTGGCTCTCATTGAAATATTTTAGGGTATACATTCGGTTAGGATGGTTTCTTTTTTTGATAGTTTAAATGAAGTGTCATGTTTTGTATAGTTTTGGAAGGGAATAGGTTGGGGTTAGGTAGACATTACATTCGTTAATAGTCAAGGTCAATGCGGTGAAAAAGTTGGGGTATTAAGTAGAATATACGAGGGTAAGTGGAAGTGGTTTCTGTGGGGTCAGACATGTATACAAAGCAAGTGCAACAGGTTCAATACACAAAATTAAGTAGAGCGAGTTCGTGTATAGTCGGACACATAGGAGAGTCGAAATAGGACACGTATCGCGTTACAGTGAAAGGAGAAGTGGTTCGCCAATAGTCAGACGGTTGGTAAAAATCATTTAAATTTCTTCGTTTTAAGTGGCATTTCTTTCTTCCCATTTTTACCAAAATATTCTTTCCACCATCAATAATATTAACATATAAAACACTTAATTATAATAACTTCACTTTAACTAAAATTTGTTTATTTTAAGTGAAATTTGTTTCTTCCCATTTTTAAAATACTATTTCACCTTCAATAGTATTAATATATAAAACACGTAATAATAATTTCACTTTACAATTTCTTCACTTAAATTTGTTCACTATAAGTAAAATTTCTTCACTTAAATTTCTTCATTTTGAATGAAATTTCTTTCTTCCCATTTTTACCAAAATATTCTTTCCACCAACAATAATATTAATACATAAAACACTTAATTCTAATAACTTCACTTTAAGTAAAATTTATTTATTTTAAATGAAATTTCTTTCTTCCCATTTTTATCAAAATATTCTTTCCACTATCATTAATATTAATACATAAAACACTCAATTATAATAACTTCACTTTAACTAAAATTTGTTTATTTTAAGTGAAATTTGTTTCTTCCCATTTTTAAAATACTATTTCACCGTCAATAGTATTAATACATAAAACACATAATTATAATAATTACTCGGTAACTAACAATCGAATATATTTATTCATATGTAAAATATTTCTCTCCAATATTTTTTGTCTTCCATATGTTTTCAAAGTTATTCCTCGTGTCCAAATAAATCAGGCTGCACGTTAAAGGCAGAAACGAAGGTCCCGATATCGAATAAACAAACTATCGGTGGGTTTGCAGAGAAGTCAGCGGGGACGTTTATTTTTCAGTCTCATTCAAACGAACATTCCGTGCCAATATAATCTCCTCGTGTATGTTTCAAGTATCGATGGAAGTTTCGCTGACCGGTTTCGCCAAGAACTTCGTCGAATCGAGCGAACTCAATTCCTGGCTTCCGTGTATCTTTCCGAAGTGATCGGAAATGAGAATGTGGGCCGGTTCTGAGTCGCGTGACGAAATTTCCGATGACTCTTCTGCCCGGGTAATTTTTGGACCGGGCCGGGTTACAATTTCACGCTTCGTTTGTGTTTCGCTGGCCTTCCAAGCGTGATTTTATATTTTACGTGCCCGATCGTACGTCTTCGGATCGACAATAGATTTCGTCGAGTTCAGACTTTGTTGATATGTAACTTTTACCTCGGATATCAACTGCTATACAGGTTTTTTAATATTGCGACAAATTGGGAAATATTTTATATTAAAGAATTGTGATAGAAGAGTTAATAAGTAAATTATTGTTTATCGATGTTATGCACTTTTATTGGATAGTACTGATTAGTGACGAAATTATTATGTTTGTTAGTGTTCATTGTATATCAAAGAATAATAATAGAAGAATTGTTAAGTAAATTATTATTTATTAATATTAGAAACTTTATTGAATAGTACTGATTAATGATGAAATTATTATATTTGTTAGTATTCATTGTATATCAAAGAATTATAACAGAAGAATTATTAAGTAAATGATGATTTAATAATATTAGAAACTATTATTGAACAGTACTGATTAATGATGAAATTATTATATTTGTTAGTATTCATTGTATATAAAAAAATTATAATAGAAGAATTATTAAGTAAATTATTATTGACCAGTACTAATTAATGATGAAGTTATTAAGTTTATTTGTATTTATTGTATGCCAAAGAATGTTAATGGAATTATTACGTTATGAAAATGTATTGAGATAGTTTTTATGGTGTAAGAGAAAAGAATGACGATAGAAATTCCAGGAAATTTTTCTCATTGCCTGTAGCTAATTGGATGTTCCCTTAAATCGCATTTGAATTTTCATCATTTGTTTGCACAGGAATAATCCGAGGAAACTTGTTTCACATTGAACCGTCTTAACGAGCACCAATGATATTGTATTTTAGGGGAAGCAATGTATATTTCCGTTTCCCCCTGGATTCAATACGCAAACGTTCATCAAATTGCGACGTCGGTGGCAGATTTAAAATATTATTCGGTTTGCGATCGTAATGAGCCAATTTGCATAGCACTGCAAATTTTCATAATAAGACAGCAAAGCGAGGCAGCTGCTGTCGGGATGCAATTTAATTGGTACCTGTTCCTTCAAGGAAATTCAACAAAATGTGCAGACAGAGATATTCCTTTCGTTTAAATTATCACATTATTTACCTCTGTAATTTCACCTCGATCTAAACAAAAAAGAATCTTCCATCCATAATTTCACAAACATCTTCATAATTAACGCTAAAAGTACCATGTGGCACAAAATGATCCTAATTTCTTCCTTTTGCAATTATTAAACAAATGACACACATTTCTCTAAGAAATGATTAAAGAAATTCATTTAGCAATACGCAAACTAAATTCTAAATTAGTTTACTTACAGAGTCCCGACAAATCTCGAAAACTCAATTTAACCCCTTGGCCTATGACTTCTTTCTCAACTCTGATCGACACAGCAACTTTGTCATTAACACTAAAACTACCGAGCATTTAATACGATTAATATGCAATTCCCATAAAAATTGTAACAATAGATTATTTTCAATTTCTTCAGGCATTCATTATAGTACTCACATGAAACTATTTACTTTGAAAATAATTTCGAAGATTCAATGCTTCGAATATAAAATTCTAAACAAAAAAATCGAAACCAGTAATATTGACTGGTACGTAGTTCTAGTGTTAATAATTTCTTCGAAAAAGAGAAAAATTCTAAGCATATGTTCTGCCCATATTTCCCTTTAAGTATAATAAATGATCACAGAGTAATAATGTTTACTTTGAATTCGAATGAACCGAGTAATATATATATTTGTTGAATCACATTGAAAATTTTCACCACGAGTCTCACGAGTTTAACGCTCTTCCCATCAACACCATCGATCCTCAGCCACGATTTTCAAATTATCCCTTTCACGGTGGAAACTCGATTAATAACTCAATCGACCTGAATAATAAAACTATTAAAAACTGCCGGCCTATCGACACGCGATATATTCGCGGCGTACATAAATATCGTTTCATCACAGTACACAGGCTCTCAGCGTGCCATCCATTAACCGGCGAAACGTTTTCGTAGCAGGTTCGGAAATTAATTAGTTAAGCGCATCAAAAATTCATAGTGTCGCGCGGCTGAGTAATAAAGCCGATATCGTCGATCCGGCGCGCCGGTGCGCCGCCCGTTCGGCTCGTCGGAGGGTACGTTTCGTTGGCCGTCTCGAATTAATA